GCGCTCAACACGCCACCGCCGAGAGGCGTGGCGGCGTGATACATATTTTTTATTATTAATTTATTTTATATGTTATTTATGAATTGTAATCAGAAGATATTAAATATTTTTTGAATTATTAAAAAATGCGATTTTAATTAATAAATATTATTTGCTATAGATTTCCATATCGCTCACTTTGGGCAGGTTTGTGACCAACTTGATAGATAAAATAAGATTAGGACATTAAATTTGAAAAGGTTTTATATTTTATTCTTTTAATTTTTGATGCTTCAAATAATTTACAACTCGTTATATAAAATTTATTTTTTATCATAATAGGAAATTTTAATTAATGATTTTTATTTTGTTGCCATTATAACATATATAAAAAAACCAGGACTTAAACAATTATAATGGATGCAACATTGCAATACCCTGTAACAAAATATAGTATATCCTTGCAAGCAAAGCCTTCTTTTGCATGGAAACATTTTGGATCCTTAATATTAAAAACTGACACAAATAATAAGAGTACCAGTGTTCCTACAGATAAAATCTTTTGTAATATATGCTTGCAAATAGCACTTGATAAAGATGGTGAGGATGAAAATAATTATTCATTTTCAGAGTAAATTTTTTGATTATTTTAAAAATATTTGTTTTTTTAATTAGTTATCCAATCAAATCTTTTTCAAAAAATATCAGCACATCAAATATAATAAAACATTTACTTGACAAACATGATTTATCATGTAAAGAAGAAATACCTAAACAAAATTTTAAGTTATTTTTCAAACCCATAAGATACAACTGTCCCTAAAATGGATTCTGGTAAAGAATTATGTTCTCATGTGTTGCAAGGATTTAATGCCATTCTCTTTTATAAATAATATTGGAATGCAAGATTTTCTAAAGGTTATTTGTAAAATCACTATAATTTTTTATAGGGCAAGGGCAATCTTAATTTTTATTATAACTATTAATATATTAAATTATTTTATAACATCCCTCATTTAGAATTTTTTACGACATAATTTTTTATTATTAACTTTTTATTATATGGAAATATAGCATTATTTCAGATACCAAAAATTACCATATAGAACTACACTTAGCCGGAGTGGATTAGAAGATGTGTATTTATCAATGAAAGCATACATATGCCAACATAATATAGGTCCTAAATTTTGTGCTATAACTTTTGATACTTGGACCGACAAATATAGACGGCGAAATTATATCACCTTTACATTTCACGAAATAGATAATAATTTTAATATTATATTTTATACATTGGCGACACATCATGTCACTCAAAAACATACCGCTGAAACTATTTTTTCCGAGATATAAAAAGTTGAAAATGAATTTAATTTAGGGTCCAAGAAAATTCAAATGGTTACGGATGCAGGACCCAATATAAAGAAAAGTGTTCGTCTAGGAGAATATGACCATCATTTATGTTTGGGGCATGGATTACATAATCTAGTGACAGTCGATGGAATAAAAAAAAGTTAATAAAAATAGAAAATCTCATTAAAAAGTGAGAGAAGTTATAGTTGCCTTAAGATTCAAAACAGTGGATTTTGAAAATATAAACGATATAGAAAATGTTTTGAATCGATATCATATATATCGGATATTTTAGATTTGGATGATAATGATTCTTTTTATGAAGATCGTTTGCATTTTGTGATGATAGTGTAAATCAAAAATCATATGAGAAAAAACAAAAAACCTTAAAATTAAATGTGCCCGTTGGTATAGTTGGTGCATGAACTTTTAAATTTTCTTAAAACCTCCAAACTGTTGAATTTTTATCTGGCCAAAAAGGAATAACTATGATCTTAAGTCATTGGCTACGAAACATTCATCTATTCAAAACAATAGCCTGGAACAACAACACTATTTAACTAATTTAGAAAAAGAGTGTTATTCATTATTTTCGCCTTATAATTTGGAGATAAAAGATGTCTTAGATTTTTGGAAGATAAGAGCATTGGATCTTCCTAAACTCAATATTAGGTAGAAAGGTCCTGTGCGTTCCAGCTACGAGCACACCCAGCGAGCGTGTATTTGCTGGGCTCACTCTGAACTCTAAAAGATCATTATTTGGTCCTTTAAATCTTAATAAAATAATATTTATTCATGATAATTATAACTTAATAAAATCATTAAATTATAGTTATAAACATAATAAAGTATAAATTTTATTTTAAAAGTGTTTCCAATGAATTTATAAATTTAATTTAAAAAATTTAAGTTAGAAAAATATTTGTCGCCGCCGCCGATTTTTGTGGCGGCGTCTAAATCGATTCGCCGCCGCCAGCCGATCATTTTAAAAAAAGAAACGCCGCCGCCGAAAATGCTGTCGGCGCACATGTCTAAGTATAAGGAATGTTAATTTTTGCTGCATGAAGAGCATATTAATATATCTAAATTGATTGGTAAATTTTTTTGGGTCATCCAGGGTTGAATTTTTCTTAGATTCTTGTGATAGTAAGCGTGTCTTTGTAGATTAAATGGGTTGCAACATTTTGATATTGTCCATCTGTGATATAGAATAAAATTTTAATTGATCTGCACTTAGAATATATGTTTTTGCACTCTCCAAATTTCGAATGTTATTGGTAGTCAGACAATAAAATAGTAAGATGCAAATGGGTTGAATTATTTAAAATTAATCTGAACGGGCAGGTTAAAAATATTATGCAGAAAGAGAGATCGTTTTAAACAGTTTATTTTGTAAAATAATATGCTCGTAAAATATAATCGATAATAAAAATATTCTCTTTTAATGCAACTGTTATACATAATCTAGCTAATAAGTCATTCGCTATAGTAGCAAAGTAGAGGTCTAAAAAATGTAAAACTTATTAAGGATGGTGGAAGAAGGGAGGGGCAGAACTGGGAAATTTTATCATATTTCTTATAAACGTATCAATATTTTCATTTATGCTAAGAAAGGGCCATCTATTTTTTTTCAATTTTTGGTAAAAATGTATATTTAGGGAAAGTCGATAGCGTCGCCAAGGTTTTCACACCGTATTTATATTTATAAAAGGTGTCTAAATAAAACCGGAAGTTAAAGGCTCAAATTGGCACCAATTTTTATTGTTTTTTGATAGCCGTTTAGAGATATCTTTTACCTACAATATGATAAATTTTTTTACTATAAATAGTTTTTGAGATATTAGCATTTAAAAAATTTTGCAGATTCCAAAGTGGCTCATTTTTGCACCTATGAGCCCCTAAATCTTGGGAACCAGGTGTGCTAACGAGCTAAAATAAACGGCTTCCTCATTTTTTTACCTATCTAAATAATTCCATTAAAAGGGAACGGCTGAAAATGTGCCATTTTTTTATCGATTTGACATGGAATGGACATAAAGCATTATAGCGAATATGTTCAAGAATTACTATAGCGAATGTATTGCTGAAAAAACATTAGCGTCCTATTTTATTAAAATAGGCAATGTTCATAGCAAAATGAAACTGAAGATAAATTTTTTGAAAAAGATTATATATATTAAAAGATCAGATTCCAGTTCCACCGAGTTAATGGTGATGTTTATAATATATTTTTATCGGTAAGCGGAAGATAATTCCCTGTAAAAACCCCCTTAAATTTATTTAGGGAATTTTTACTCAGTGGAATTATCTATGGTAACATTTTTATAAGAATGAAGAGCTCCACACTATAAATATCACTTAACCTATTTAACAGAAGTTCCTTCAAAAAATATAAATCAATAATAAAGTAAAGGCACAATTAATTATTTGAAATTGTTTCATGTTTTTTCTTATAGTTAATAAATAATACTATAAAAATTTATAATTTATATTTAAAATACATTTTTTTAAACGTATGTATTTTCTCAACTCTAGTCATATATTCGCAATATAATTATCTAAGTTATTTTCAATTATAGACTTTCAGAGAAAGAATGACCGCCAATATTTTTGAAACGAGAAAACAAAATTATAAATTTTAGAGGAAGAATGAGCTCCAATGTTTCATTAATATTTCAGGTATTATTAGTACTAGGAGGCTAAAATTATTGGCTCTTTTACACTTTTTACTTTTAAAACATTAAAGTAGATTAAATATATCAGAAGCGCATCTAAGTTAAAATATTTTTTAAATCAAAATTTATACTAAATAGTCATCTTCAACATGTTTTATGCATCTGTAAGGCTAGAAACTGTGCAATTAAAATAACTTTTTTATTTTACTTTTCAAATTTAAAACAATAAAAATCAAAAATTATATATTTAAAATTTTATACCCAAAAAGGAACCATAATTATGTCTAAAAATTTCTATTTGAATAAATTCAATTCTTATATTTGTAAAATGTTTACAATTTTCTTTTTCGCGTATAAAAAATATTATGCAGAAAGATATATAAATAAGACGATATAAAAATTTTATTTATAAATCATTAAAAGTTTTGGTCATATAAAATCAATTTATTTTTTAAAAAAATTGATATTAATTTACTTTTTAAAGAAATTAATGATACAGTTTAAATGTGTGTTAATGAAATATATTTTTTGCCATTAAATTAAAAACAGTATGAATGAGCCATAAATAAATATCACAAAGGATAGTGAATAAAATAAAACTAAATATCTATCAAAACGAATGAACATTTATTTTTAAAAAATTTGGCTCTTACACATTGATATTTGATTTTGGAACATAACCCAAATATAATAAGGTTTTAAGGGTATAAGTTGATAATATAGGCAACTTTATTTATTACTATTCCCCAAAAAGAAGGTGGGGAGGGGAAGGGGGTGAGTAGAGTTTATCTTACCTTTTAGATAATAATAATTAGCAAAAAAAGAGAAAATTTCAACTCACAATGAAGTTTTTTTGCCATAGAAAATCGCTATATCGATGTTAGATAAAATATATGTTTATATTTTCGAATGATAATCTTCATATAATTAAAAATTATGTATTTAAATTATTAAATTTTAGGTTTATAATAAAAATGAGAGGTGACAAACTTTAATGAGATTTGCTGGCAAGACAGGGGAAGGATAGCTCTTGAGATAATTTGCTAAATCATAATCTACGTGTTCAAAAATTAGAAATAGTATGACCTCGTTAGTCTTCTTAGCACCTTGAGCTATATCTAAAATTCTATTGATTTGTTATAAAATAAAATGGCGAATTTATAGGTAATTGTATATATTAAATAAAATGACAAGTCTATAGTGTAGAAATAAACGTGGCCAAGATTTTCATAGGGCATTGGAATATTTGCCCCGCCTCTATTATTTTGAATGGATGCAAACTGTTCCTACCGTATTCATTTTTATTTTTTGTAGCCAAGAGAAGATTCTTTTTTCCTGTGCTTATGGATGAGTAAAATATATAACATACATATAATTAATAATCAAAATCATACTATACAATATTGCAAATATCAATTAAAAAATCATTTCCTGTTTTAAATTATTCTCTGATTACACTATAAATTAACAGATAAATCTTCGATTGTTATATGGAAAGAATTAGTGTTGCTTGAAGTTACTTTTGAAGGGTAACTAGCTACATTCTTAAAAAGGTTACTAGTTGTTACATTGATAGTTAATTTACAAATAACTTATATAACCTATCATTTTTAATAATTATTTTTATTATATAAAATTTTTACAAATTTTAATAAAAGGACATTAAAATAAGATTTAATTAAAGAAATGCGGCACTGAAAAGCTGAACTGTATAATCATTTGTATTAAAATTATATATATATGATTTTAATATATATTTGCACCCAAAAAAATATCTATAATATAATATTTATTTTTCATAAAAATTTGAGTTTAACAATTTTTTATGTGGCAGCGAGCTATTTCAAAATTTGTGTCCAAAGGTTGATAATTTTTCTAAATTAGGCCTATTAAAACAAATATGAATCAAAGAATGCATTATTCATATTCGATTCGTTTAAAAGAATAGAATAATTTACTATTTGCATTCGTTTCGATTAATTCGTTTTTTAAAAATATTATTAAATAATTTATACGATAATACATTTACAGAATATTTTTATTGCACCTCTAATTTTAAAATGAAAAAATTATTATTAAAATCTGATGATAAAGAACATGCGATCAAGTTATTAACGAAATTAAAATGCATATTAATTAAATTTATAAAACCAAACCAATTAGACAATTTTTAAGGCAGAGTTTTTCTTATTAAAACTAGAAATGTAAAGTAGGGGAAATTTCCCCTATTTTTATTTTATGTTTTTTTGATCAAGATTTTGTTATATTTTTTTCTCTTGGTTCATATATCATAATTGTGTTTTGTTTTTATATGTATGTTCATTTTCGATAATATAATAATAGCTCAATTTTAGTAAGAAATATAGGAAAAGGTCATACTTCCTCTTCTAATTTTAATTTTACCAATAATACTATAATCTAATTTAATGAAATATATTAATAATTTTGCAACACCTTTTTATATTAAATTATTCATTTTCCATAGTGCAAAGTGTATTTGGAAAAAATTATTTCATTTGTTAAACAGCCAATATGAAAGGATTAAAAAATATAGTAACCCAAAGATAAGATACAAATTGACCCTTATTAATTAATTTATAGAAAATTGGATTTGAGATTGCTATAAAAAAATTTATAACCCATTTCACTCTTATATGTTCACCCAGGACTAAAATGCATAAGGGAGGATTATATATCTAGTGAATTTATTTAAAGTAATTGTAGAAATAGGAAACACATAAAGTAACATAATAAATAATGCCAGTAATGAAGAAAGCGTGGACCCATGTGAGAATTAAATATCCAATTATCGAATGCATCGGTCTGCCTCTTATGACTTGATTTGCTTTATAAATATCAGCAAATAAAATATTGCCAATTTAAATTTTAGTAAAATGTGTAAAATTCAACATTCTTCTACACATTTAAGGAAAAATAACTACTAAAAGATAAAAATAGGATTGTTTCCTTAAGGTTGCCTAGCCCCCAACTCTTTTGGAATAGCTATGACAATTAATAGTCTGTTAAGAAATAGATATTTTGAGGCAATACTCCTATTTTCATAGAGATATGAGACAATCTTTTTGATAATGAAATTTTTTAATGATCTTGCATATCTACACAATTTTATAGTCATTTCTGCACAAATAGAGGAAGTCGACGCGGACAAATCAAACTTATTTGACGTTCCTCAAGCATTTATTGATATCAGGGAAATCTCTTATGGAACGAAATTATACAGATTGAGCAATTTATTTTTAAAAAATTTGAAAAATTTTTGTTGCTGGGATAAATTTTACCTTGCTCATATACTTGACCCAAGATATTACGGATTTAATTTTAAAGACAATGTTGATAAAGGTTTAATGTTCCAATTTTCTGGATATCTAGATTTAGATGTTGTGAGACAAATGACAAATTACTCGATTTTAGAGATCTGGAATCGTTTCAAGCGAAGATAAAAAATTAAATAATTGAAATTTATATCACACTTGTTTATATATTTTCGATGTAAAAAAATTAATATTGACCTGAAAATCATTTTTAAAGGAAATTTCCCTATTTCCCATTGTTACATTAGTAATTGAGGCATGCGATTTTTTGACAGCAAATTAGTTACTTAGAGATGTAAATTTCCTTGGAAAATAGGTTCAGGGGAAATTTTCCCGGGAAAATTGAGGGAAAAGAGAAAATTAGTGGAAATAACGGAAAATTAAATAATCATAAAATACACTTTAAACCTTTCAATTTCTTTTATTGAATAACTTTATTTTGGGGAACTAAGGCAAAATAAAATGATTAAACAATAAAGACAAAAACTACAAACATTTCATTTTTTTTGAATTACTTTATTAATTACAAGAAGCATGCATTATAAATTAGATTTAAAATTGATGGAATGCTAATGAAATAGCATCAACATCTTCATGGGATGTAATTGAAATATCATCATTATCATTTTATATTGATAAAATGCAGTGTTGTTAAAATAGCGCGCTACAAGTAGAGCGCTACTTTTTTCAGTAGCGGTAGCTTTAGCGGGCTACTTTTTTAGAAAATGGCGATAGCGGTAGCTCGTTACTAATGCGCTACTTCGCTACTTTCAATTTTACATAATAAATACATCTAAAAATTATATATTTATATTTATTTTAATTTTGAAATTTATATTTAAAAATATACATTATAAATCTAGTTATTAAAAATGTGTGAGATTATTGAAGATAGCGAAATTTCTTTGGAAAATGAGAAAAATATAGATTTTCCTTTCCCAAAATTCAAAAAATACTTTAATCTTGAATAAAAAATTACTACTGGATATCGGTTTCGATGCAAGATGTGTCGCAAAATTTTATCCTCAAATCATACAAGCAGCTTTAATTTAAAAAAACATTTAAAGGTAATATATTACACAGCTAATCCTTAATTTTTAAAATAAATTTAAATCAAAGCAATCATTTTTTTATATATTCATAAATTTTATCTAAATTATTTAAAACATTTTAAAATAGTTATTTCAATCATTTTTATGTACTTATCTCCTACATAATTTTTATTCAAAGTATTACTGTTATAATTTTAGACTGTTCACACAAATTATAAATTGAAAAATATCTCAAAAGTTTTGGGGTAGCATTGTTTCTAGATGAGAAAAAAATGTAAATGAATTATGTATTAAATCAAATAGGAATACAGTATTTTAATGTGGAGGAGCATACTTTTATTAAAGAATATACTGAAGTATTTTTAATTAATAAATAATTTTATATTATATTTAACCATTTTAATTTTTTAGGTTATGCAATATGTTGCTGCCTCACTTAAAATCTTGGAAGGGCAAGATAATATGAGCATGGGATATTATGTTCCCACACTGAGTATATTAATTACCAAGCTCAAAAGAATCAATAATCTAAAATTTTGCCAACCACTGGTAGAGTCTATGCTAAAAGACATTGAGAAAAGGTCAAAACTTTATTTTCATTTTCTATTATACAATTATATAAAATGAATGATTTATTGCTTGATTAGCCATAATTTAAATTGGCTTAATTTACAACACAATCTATAATATTAATATATAGTATTAATATAAAATTCAAAATTAATATATTATTAATTACCTTGTGTATAATAATTATATTTTTAAAATCTTTATTTTATTCTTCTTTTTTTATAATAAATACAATCGCTTTATATAAATTAGATTTCCAGATCTGTATGATGATGATAATGTAATAGCTGCTATCGTTCATCCTAGTTTCAAGTTAAATTGGCCATGCATTAATTTGACTGAATCTAAAGGGCAACTTGATAGGCTGATGTAACGTTAAAAAATGACATGCCTAACCATGATACTAATACTATAGCAAAATCGAAACCGCGTCCTTCCATAGACGATTTTTTAAAATAAATAATAATAATATTATTATTGAACCTCTAGATTATTTTTTAAATCTAAAAATACACATTTAAATATTTTTGATTATTTTTTTCATATAAAAAGTGAGTTTATTAAATTTAATACTGCGTTGCCCTCAAGTGCTAGTGCTGAACGATTATTTAGTATGGCAAAGCTTATACTTTCTGATAGTCGCTCTAGACTTAGGGATGACAGTACCGAAATGTTATTATTATTAAAGTGCAATAATAAATAAAATATATATATATGTAACAAATTATAGTCATGTTATACCAATATTTTATTTGTGGAAATAAAGTTACGTAAAAAATATTTTAAAAAAAATCAAAATAGCGTAAAAAGTAGCTAATAGCGCGCTACTCATTTGAAAACGATAGCGGTAGCGCGCTACTTTTAAAAGTAGCGTTTAACAACACTGATAAATTGTAATCTGAAATTTTTTTATGATATCCCGAACATGATGTATTTGTGTGATCCTTTAAATGTATGTTATACCTGGATATTAATTTTTCGACTCTTCCATTCTTATTCTATTACTCGTTTTTGAATGAATTTTTTTAAATGCTGACTAGATTCTTTCTAACGCTTGAGGGTGGTATCGGAAGTTGATTTGAACACAAGCCTCCCCACCATATGAGTGGTGTAGTATGGTCTGAGCTCTCCCATATGCCAGCTCCTTTATAGAAACCTTGTTTGAACGATATTCTGCTAAATTACTCATAATTTTTCTAATATCGCAATTTGAAAAAATATTTATTAAATTTAAAGCTACTGTTAATTCAAGATATGCTAATTTCACACCATAAAATCTAGGATACAAAGATTTGTTGCATAATGATAAGGCAACAAAATTTCCATCGTTTATTAATATGTATCTTAACACTTTTTAAATAATTTTCATTAAAAATAAAAGTTGAGGAATTGAGTTTTTTATATCCCAAAATATTTCTGATACGTCAGATAATAATCCGATTCTACAATTATATTTTTGTTATAAATAAATTCCAAAAAAGTCAGTATAGACTTTAATTTATCCCAGTATCCTTTTTGTCCAATATAATACGCCATCTTTGTTTGTCTATTAATAAACTTGAAATTGCATTTTCTTGCAAAACTTCCTTATTTTTCACAACACTTTGCAACATTATAATAAAACCTCTCCATTTTGTCGGACTTGGAATTTTTAAGGAAGATTTATATCCTTTCAATATTTGCCTTTTTTAAAAGTTGCCAATAAAATGCCATTAAATTTTATATATTTAACTATTTCTTTGACTTTTTTGATGATTTTTCAATAAAAAGTATTTGGATAAATCTTTAATAAGCAGATTCAAGCCATGTGCGGCACATCCAAAGCATTCAATTAAAGGCTCACGAGGAAAATAAAAATTATTTTAAAATTTATTATAATCATAATTTTTGAAATAGAATATTATATTTTATAAAAAATAAATCATAATTTTTGCAATAAAATATTATATTTATATTAAGGGAAGATTCGGGAAATTTCCCTACCTTTACATCTCTAGTTACAACTAAGAATTTCATAAGCAGTTGAAGCATAATCTTTTAATTAGACCTGCCAGATTGATAGATAAGTATATTTATGATTTTCTTATGGAGATGGGGGGGGGGCATTATTAGTTGGGGCTTTCCGCCATAAATTTTATTGGACGTCTTTACCTCCACTTATTGTACACTTTTGGATAAATTATATTTTTATAATAGCAATTTTGGTTTTTCACTTATTTAAGGTTAATTTTGGATATTTACTTTTTTTATAAAAATGTCTCCTAAAAATTTTGGAATTATAGTCGTAATTTAAAATAAAATTGCTTATTTTTCTTTCAAATTATGGTTTGTAATAATATATTGTATAAATTTTTGAGGGAAAAAGGGCGGAGGGTTTAGGAAATTTTTTTATGATATTTAACAGAACATGTAAATTTCCGAAGGCGGGGGGGGGGGGGTTATCGCTCTATCTCTCCATTTCTTGGATACGGGATTGATGGGTTATCAGAAATGACAAATAAGTTTAAAATATTTTAAAACATACTACTAATTATTCCAAATATTTCGAATTAAATCAAACTATTTGAATAATTTGATTCAAACAAATCCATTTATTCAAATAATTTGTTGAATAATCCTTTATTCGTATTTGAGCAAAACAAATAATTTACTATTTGCATTCGTTACTATTCAATTTGATTTGAATCATTTAAAGCGAATCAAATATTTGTTTCATTTTTGATTAACCCCACTTTGAATATAAGCTTCCATAGACTTAAAATGTTTTAGGGAGCTTTTTATAAAGGTTAGACTTTATATTTAATAAAATATGTAATTTCGAGGTTCGGAAATAATCATATAATGAATAATAAAATATATATCATTTAACATATAAAAAGTAATAGTTACTTTTTAGTTACATTCCAAAATACAAGTTACAATCTTTTCATTTGTAACTAGTTGCAGTTATTATTTCGCAAAAGTAAGTAGTTACTTTAATAACACTAGTAAGCATATAAATGTTACGCAAGATTTCTTTAGAATAGAAAAATTACTTGTGTCCGATTAAGAGTAATATATTTAATTTCATACTAACCAAAGGATATATTTTTTAAAAAAAGTCAAATTTTTTAAAGTAATCAGGTTTATTATCGCAAACAGGATGCATTATATTTTATTTCTCCTAAAGATCTCAAATAAATGATAAAAATTTTACATAAAAACTAAGCTTTAAACTCGAATTTATAAAAAAAATAACGTTATCGAAATTAAGTAATTTTTTTGATAGATAATTACGCCCTTTTTTGTAATTAAAACTTAATTAATGCGTTATAATCTACTTGACTATATTATTTATGCAATTGATAAAGTCATAAAAATTGTAGGTAACAGAGGCAGATATCATTTTGCAAAAATGAATGGCTAGACTTTTAATAAAAATAATACTCTCGTCATTTCGCGGAAAGTAGATGATAATCAAAGAAATAAATTGTCAATTTTTTATCATTATAAATAAGGATTGACATAATATCTTTGATCAAAGTTTTAGAATCAAAATCTCGAAACCGGGTAAAATCTAGAAACTTGAACCATACCCTTTTCTTATTCCCATGAATTTGTTCTAACAAAAGTACAAATAATTTAAACTTTATATAAACTTTTTTGTTTATTCAGAGTTTGGAACCGAGTAAAATTTACTAACCTAAACTTCTTTTGTCAGAAATCAGAGTATCTTTAAAAAATATTCAGAATCGAAATCTTTTTTAATAGATTGCAAACGCTGTGTTTAATTGCATATCAAATAAATATTAAAATTAGATATCAAATTACACATTAAATTTTTCTCCTTTAGCCCGAAATATAAAGTTCAAACATCAATTATTACAATATTCAAGTAAATTATATGGATGCATATTTAACTGATGAGAATGAAATATGTTTATACTAATCAAATGAAGAGTAAAGATAAGCCAATATTTCAAACTTTTCACATTATCGGTATATAGTGTAAGCTTATAAAATTCAAATTAATAAATTTTTTTATTATTTTTTTTAATGTGATATTTGCATAAATTATAAGTTTATTTTGTAAATAAAAAATTAAATGTCCTATTGACCCGGAGCCATATCATATAATAGTCTGGTATAAATCAATCCACGTTGTGCCAAAATTATATTATTTTTTTTATAAATTTTTAGATATAATTGTCCATAAATTATTCCTTTTATATATTATATATAAGGGTAAAGATAAGAATGTCTACCTAATCTAATACCTTAAATGGAGAAAACAACACTGGGACATATTTTTACTGTAATTATTAACCGTTTCCTCTATTTATTTTTATCTTATCATGTAAGTAATTATGCTTATTCACGCATACTCAACTCGAACACAAAACCACAGGAATTTTATTGTATTTTAATTTATCTAATAATTATTTATCTAGATAGATTAAAAGTTATATTGTATATAAAATTTCTTTTTTAGGTGATAATTTTTTTTTTATCAAGGACAAACCCCTTTATAATTTTAAAGACTTATGTAAAAAGTGGGAAAAAATTATTTTTATAGAAAGGTAAGATAATTTTTAATAACTATTTTTTAAAAATGCATTAAAAAAATAATGCATCCATCGATAAGAATGGGTTCTTTCATTCTTTTTACGCATATCACTTAATTTAAATTTGTTACTCCAATAAATGGATTTGATATTATTAAATGACATCCATGTATTACTATTTAATAAGTTTTTCCAATTTATAAAATACAAGATCTTTTTTTGTATTGTTTTATTTCATCCGATAGGTAAACATGTTTACAACAAATTTCTGATGAGCTAATTGTATTATTTTTTTTAAAACAAGGTATCCAGGCTATGAATAAACATTTTATATTGCATTTTGTTTGTGTAAGATGAGTATCTTTTAAAGTAAACATGATATATATTTCAATAACTGTGAAGTAAATCAGACGAACTTTCTTAAATAGGATATTTTCACAAATAAAAAAATAATAATTGTAAATCAAGGTCTACAAGCTCGATTTTTATCGGCCAAGCCTGCCTGAAGCCCAGTGACATTTTTTTATAGAATTATGGCTAACCATCCGCTATAAATGAAATTAGGGAAAAATATATCAAGCTTATTTATTTTAAAATTATGTATTACATATAAATATTTAGTACTTAGCCAGGAGGGACAAGGGGAAATCCTCCCCCCCCCATCGGAAATTTGCCTGCTCGTTAACATTTTAAACTAATAAAAAAAATTCCCCCGCATGAACCCCCTTTACTCTAAAATGTATACAAAATATGACTATATAAAATTTTGAAAGAAAAAATTATAATTTTTAAAAATAACTATAATTCAAAATTATTAGAAAAAAATATTTGTATACAAAAAAGTGAGAACCCGAAATTATTTTATAAAAAGCGAATATAACCAAAGGCCTATAATAATTGGATTTAGACATCTCCAATAAAATTTATGGGGAAAACTTACCTAATAGTGATCTCTTCCCCTACAAAAATCTTGGCTACGCCTTGGTTACGTTTATTAATTATTTTCTCACCTAATTATTTTTAAACTTTTCTTATTTTTAAAATTCATTTTATAATTGTGATACTGGAAAAAGGAAGAAAACATATCATTTATATTTTTCTGAGCCACAGACCGATTATATATTTTTGATAATTGGTTCTACAGGAATCTTAAAGCTGATCATGGTAAGTTTAGTTCAGCAGGCTCATTTTTATATATTCAATCAATCATTTTTTTTAATTATTATTTTAGCCATTTTTCAATATAAAGAAAATTAATTGATTATTCATATATACTTGACTAAATTAGGATGTTGAAAGTAAGAGAGATGCTTGAGATAGGCTATTTCTCTTAACAAATTGCAAGGCACACCCTGGTCAGAGGAAAGAGGTATAATCAATTTTTTGAGCGCCACGAATTTATCAGAGTTATTAGGGTCTCTTGCTTTATAAACTATACCCTCAGCTCCGGACCCAATGATTTCGACATCCTGGAAAGCCGAGGCTTTGTTATTATTGCTATTATCTCTTCTGTCGCTGTTATTTATACTAGCGTTTAAAGGTAAAGAATGTTTCTTCTGATAATCGGTCTCATCGAATTGACTGATGACTATGGGTGGATTTTGATTAGCAGTAATATTATAATTGTTAAGGTTCCCAAAATTTTGAGTGGGGTTTAGGAAATAATGGGAATCGTTTTTTAGAAGACTATGATGAATTATATTATTTTGACGAACGCAATGCGTCATGGATGAAAACTCGCCATTTATTAGAAGGTTGGACGGTAGGTTTGTAACTGCGGATATATCATTCATTTTCGAATTTTATTCAATTTGAGTCATGACTGGCGTATTTATTTTCCTTGATAAAAATAGACTTGTAATAAAAATTTATAATGAATAAATATTTGTAAAAAAAGATCAAGATTTAAAAACTGTTTTCTTCTGGTAAATGACATTTGCGGGAACGAAACCAGATGTGATTGTGATTTTTTAAATAATGTTTAAACGTTTTCATTTTAAATCAATTACATCATATTAAATAATTATTTTACAAAAAGTTGTGCCTTCAAAGTTTTTAATTATGGAAATAATTTAATATTTTTAAAAACATATTTAATTTCAAAGATCGTGAAAAAAAAATTAAATAAATAAAGGTAAAAAAAAATAAATAATAAAATAAAAAAAAATATTGAAAATTGTATCATTGAACTGAACAAAGTTTAAAAAAAATATATAAATAATATTTGTAATGGTAAACATAGATTAATTTTAGAGAGCACTAATTAATTACGCTAAAATTCGTTACCTAGCTTAAAGGTCTACAACCGGCTTTTTAGCCATGGTCGGGTCGGTTAAAAAAATTTAACAATGGGCACGTGGGTTTAAAATATTTTACGGATGAAATAGGGACAGGCATATATTTATCAAAAATTACTTCTTTATCTAGATTTTGTATATTTTAAGAGTTTACATATAGATAACAAAGATGTGCAATAGGGTTGGCAAATAGAAATCGATTTGATTTAAATCAATATTTTTAATAAAAGTTAATTTACAAAATTTGATTAAAATACTTAATATAATGCAGAGACCTGCAGGCGCGGCCCTAAGCCCGGGTATACGGGCCGAGCCATATTTTAATTTTTTTAAATATACACAGGCCAGGGCGGGCCTGAGAAATTTTTTTAAAAAATATCTGGGCCGGGCCGTATATTTTAAAACCAAATATTTGAAATTGCCATTATTAGCTATAAAAATCAAAAATAAATAAAATACACTTTTAAAAAATCCGGGCCGGGCCTAAAAATAAACCTGGGCCGGACGGCCGAAAAATTTTTTTTTAAGAGTTTTGCTAAACGGCTCATTTTGAGCCGATTTTTAAAAATGGCTAACTCTATATTTTATTAGGTATGCAAGCTTTAAGATTGTGGCACAAAGGTTTGAACATCTATTAACGAAATCTCGAGGCTTAGACAATATATTTCTAGCTTAAATATTGAGTTAACCGTTTTTAAAAATCGGCTCAAATTGAGCCGTTTAACAACACTATGTACAAATGGTACTTTCGTAGGTCTCTGATATAAGGAAGGACATAAATATTTTAGAATTAAATAATTTTTATATGAAAATATTAAATTTTACTAGCAATTATTACTTATTTTATAAAAAAAATACTTGATTTATTTTGTATTTCATTGTTTATATTTTTGACAATATTAATTGTATAATTCTAATCTCAATGTAGGGAGAAATTATTTAATATTAATAAAAAATTTGTTAAATTCAGGGCTGTGAACTAGAGGTCTGCATTGAACGGGGTTTCGGCCCGCTTCCCCCAGGCAAAAAAAATTTTTAAGAACGGTCAGGCGGACGGGTTAAAAAAATTTTAAACGGCAGGTGGGTGGACAGGTTATGAAATTTAAACAATAGGCGGGCGGGTTAAAAAAATTTAAAATCATTTAAGTAAATATAAAAAATTGTTCCTATAAACTTTTTTGGATATTAAAAATTAAAATGTCCTTTTTTGGTATGATAAAAACTTTTTTCTTTGTATATTTAAAACTACATTGGTGGAAACGACAAGAAAGAGATTTACCAAAGCTATCAAGATTAGCAAGAAAAATATTGGCAATTCCTGCAACTAGTGCTTCTTCTGAACGAGGATTTAGCATTACTGGAAGGTTTTTAGAACAAAGAAGAACATGTTTGAATCCAGAAAATATCGATTCCATTATTAATTACATATAGTATCAATTTTATATTTATATTATTTTCATAAATATCTTATTTGATCAAATATATCATCCATAATTTAAATTGAATATTTTTTATGCTTAATACAGTAATTTCCTAAAAATTTTTGCAGAGGTGTAATGCTGAAATTTTTTTTTATTAGATGGTTAAAAAATTGAAAGAATGGTCATAATTTAGCGGACCTGGGTTAAAAATTTTTTATAAATAATGGGTGGGCGGGTAAAATATTTTAGACTAATGAACAGGCGGGCGGGTAAAGAATTTTAGACTAATGGACGGGAGGGTAAGGAATTTTAGACTAATGAACAGGCGGGCGGGTATATATTTTTTTGAAAACCATGGGCGGGCAGGTTAAAATTTTTTAAACATTGGGTGGGGCTTATGGTCTAAAAACCCGCCCAGCAGACCTCTACTCCTCCTTCTAGAAAGGGTTCTGATTCAGGGCTTGCAGTCCAGAAAATTTATAACTATATTACAAGTGATATTATGTCAAAGATTGAACAGTGGTAGAACTTAAAAAAAATTAGCATTAACAATATAATCTTTGTTGAGATGTATTTTTAAATACATTGAAAACATTTCCAAAATTAATCGATTATGTTTTTCCATGTCCCAATAAAACCAAGTTACCCTTTTTTATATCCCTGTTATACTCTTTAATAGTGAAAAGTTGACTCACAACTCGATGCTGATGATGGAAACTGATACAGAATATTTGAAAAATATAAATATTTGGAAATGCATTTTATGAGCGTAGAAATTTGACAAAATCTGATGTAACAATCTTTTTTCTATAATATTGTTGATTTTTGATTTCTTTAGATAACAAATAATCAGATCAATGGATTGATTTACCTTTTTATAATAAAAAAAAGTGGTCAATAAAGTGGAAAAATTACAAAACTGTTTTTTGTTTTTTTAAATATTAAAAAACGCATAAAAAAAGTTTCCCCAAATTCGTTTGATACCTATCATTTGAAATAAAACGAAAAAAAAGTATAAAGAATAAAATGATACTGGTTGTAACAACCGTGTGCATCGAACTTAATTTTTCAAGCTCGGCCAGAATTAAATCCGGCGACATCTCGATTTTTTAGTTGTTTCGTAAAACCCGACCCGAAATAAAAATTATTTATCTGCCAGGCCATAATTTATATAAATATTGAAATTAATTATTTTTCAATATCTTTTCTACACTGAACATAATCGTGTTTTTGATCATTCTACAAACAAATAAAATATCAGGGCCTTGTTTCTTACAAAATTTTTTAAATGTATATCAATTTTATTTCAAAATTTAAGCCCGATCCGTCCGGTTCTATTTTTTTTAGAAAATATTAGGCCCGCCCCAGCCCATGGCCAATTTTTTTATATAGGTCTAAACTTGGCTTACTTTTGCAGATCTATAGTAACATATAGTATTGTTACAGATTCAAACGAGTCGGCTAAGCCGTGACTTAAGTCGAGTATTGAGTCAATAAATCGACTCATTCTTAAAACTCATGTCGCGACTTAAGTTCTGAATTCGAGTCGCGACTCAAGAGTCTTGAACTCGAGTTAAATTATTTTTTTTCGAGATCAATTTATTATTAAACCAATTTTATTATAGAATAGAAATTATTATTTTAATTTTTTTTAAATATTGAATTTCTGAGTCTTATAGAAAAAGTGTAAAAGATATATGAAGAAAAGGCCATAGGTGTCTTTGTGGGCCGAAGGTTCTCATAAAAATTCTTCCATATGAAAATTTTGACTACGCATCCCTGACCAAAACAAGCCCATCGTTCAAATATCAATAAAGAATCAGTACAGTAATATTATAAAATAAATCTATTTATACCTCTTTTCTTTTTGTTGTTTAAAATCGGGATTTAATCAATTTAATAAGCCTCGAGATTTAGACAAAAGAGAATCAAATCTTTCTGCCAACTTTTTGAGAAATCTGGTTGGGTTATATTTACCTGGCTAAAATATTCTATAAATTTAAATATTTGATAACAGGATTCTTCTACATAAATATCTAGGTATAAGAAATTGTCAACTTTTTTTAAGAATCCTAATCAATGCTAAATTTTAGATGTTAATTTAAGAATATTTTTTAAAATGATCCTCTTACATAGAAAGTTTCTGGCTATGCGCCTGAACGCCATAGTAGTAAATATTAGAGTTGTTAAAGTAGCTCATTACTGTAACGGCTATCTTTTTTGGTAGCTATAGCTAAAAGCGCGATACTTTTACACAATTATTCATTTTTTTAGCACGCTCCTTTTTTTGAAAGCATCTAAGTGGCGATGTAACTATAAACATTAAAATTTAAATATAATATCATAATTAATTAAATTTTTATAATAAACTATTTAATTTTGAAATTGAAATTTATATTTACAATTTGTATTATAAACCTAAATCAACTAGTGTAAATTATTTAAAAGTCATCGCAAATGGATATTCAAATCGATGTTAAGTGAGTCCGACAATTATGATATTAATGAAATGGAAGCTACCCTGGAAGAAAATGTTTTTGATAACAATCCAAAATTTGAAAATATTTTCAAATTAATCTAAAAACAAAAGGTGCCTATATATTTATTTGTTAGTGGCTATAACCTCAAAAACACCTAAAGGTAATTGTCATTTTTAAATTCTAATAGTATTTTTATTTTGTAAGACATGCCAACAGTTATAAAGAGATAGAAAAACATCTTAATAATTTTGGTATAGGGGAAACTACAAAAAGACCAATTCAAAGCTAAATTGATTAATAATATTGCAAACGCCAATATTTCTCAGAAACTGGCTAATAAAGTTGTCGATTTTATAATTGATATGGTTCAGCCAATATCATTAGTTTATAATCCATCATCTACCATGATGATAACTATCACTGGTATAACAATTTTTTTTCGCCAGACACTAATGATTGAGATAGAAAACAAAGATGCTTTAGTTGAACCATAACGATTTCCATTGATAATTTTTTTCAAATAAAGGATACTAATATAATAGAAAATCCCTAGACACATTTTTTAAATCTAAAAATACAAATGAGTATTTTTGATAATTTTTCTTATATTAAAAATATGCATATAAAATTAAATACTGTTTTGCGCTCCAGTGTTGGTGTTGAGAGATTATTTAGTAAGGCGAAATTTATACATTCTGATTGTCGCTCTAGACTTGGGAATGATAGTATAGTATTAATAAATGCAAAAAAAATAACATAAATAGTTATTTTTATTACATAAATTATAGTCCTT